AATAATAATTAATAACAACAATTATAACAACAACAATAACAATTAACAACAATAATAATTAAACAAGATTATTCTAATAATAACAATAAAACAATAATAAATTTAAGATTATTTAGATCTTACAACCGTGCTTTAACGCTCCACTAATTACGATTACGAACTTTTTAATTTTTTCCGATATTAGGAAAATAATTAGAGAATTTAAGAAAATAAGGATTATTAGAGATTTAGAGAATATAAGAGATAAGAAGAAGAGATTGTGATTTTGTGATTTGGGAATGAAATGGAGGTGAGTATTTATAGAATTTTTGGGGAGCAAATTGGAAAAAACTAGCCGTTTTTTTGGCTTATTAAGGAGCTAGAATAAACGGTAACATTACCGTTGGCCCGCGGGCCGTGCCTGCGGGCCGGCACGACGGGCCAGCACGGCGGGCCATGCCCGTGCTCGTGCCGGGTCGTGCCTGGGAATTCTCAACCCTGTCCGTGGCACGGCCCGTGGCACGGGAGTTGAACTTCGTGTCGTGCCGTGCTTGAATTCGGGCCGTGCCGGGCTACGCCGAACGGCGGGCCGTGCCGGGCGGCACGCGGGCCAACCCGGCCCGTGCCCAGGTTTAACTCTTCTTTGTTTACTCTTAGCTTAATTAGCTTGTTTGCTTTCGGGTGATCTTCATGTTTGCTAATTTTACTTCACTAGTAACATGGCAGATTTTTTTGGATCACTACTTGAAGTCTTGAAATCCTATGGTTTGTTCGTTAATGTAATATAATGTTTCGGCTCTTTGAGTAAAAAGAAATATTCAGTTATATAATAGGAAAATTTAACAGGAATAATCCAACCTTTTACCCATTTTTCCAAAATAATCCAACCTTTTGATTAACCCTGAATAATCCCAACTTTGCATATTATTCTCCTACACCGCCCCTAGCAAGTCACCCAACCCCCTACAACCGGTTGCCATGCCACGTTACACTTTTTTATTGGTTTTTTTTAAAAATAAAAAAAATAAATAAATAAAAAACTTCATAAAAAAAATATATTTTAAAAAACTTTTACAAAAATCCTTCAATTTATGACAGCCACCTCCCCACTACTAAAATTCGGCCAAATTGCGACCGTCTCTGACGGTCGCAGATTATAGTAAAAACGGTCACAATTAATAATTGCGACCGTCAACGGTCGTAAGGTGGTGGTCGTTATTCACGTGGTCGCAGAAAATCATTATTGCGACCGTTTGACGGTCGCATATTTTTTGCAACCGTTTTTATTATTTTCAACGACTGTTTAGAAAACAGTCACATAAATTAAAAATTGCGACTGGTTATATCAGTGGTCGCAATTTTTGGAATTAGCGACCGCCATAAGCCGTCGCTAAAATTTAAAAAAAAAAAAAAAAAAAAATCACACTACTGTACCCACTGCCTCACCAACCACCGAAACCACGTACCTTTACCCACTACCAACCCAAACCACCTTTACCCACCACTTCTTCCCACCCTAACCACGAAAACCCACCGCCTCTCACCTGAAACCACCTAACCCACCACCACCGCCAAACCAAACCACCTTTACCCACCACAACTCCCCACTCTAACCAGTAAATCAACCGTCGCTCACCTGAAACCACCACAACCCAACGCCGCTCACCCGAAACCACCTCAACACCGCTCACCCGAAACCACCTCAACCCAACGCCGCACACAAAATTATAAAAAATTAAGAAAATTACCCACAAAATCAGAAATAAAATTATACAATAACTATACAAATTACAGAAAATTACCCACAAATTAGAAATAAAACAATAATATAGATCTTTCAAAAATTTTAAACTAAAAATACAATAAAACAACACAAATCAGAAATAAAACAATAATATAGATCTTTCAAAATTAAAAACTAAAATCACAATTATACATAATCAGAAATTAGAAACAATAAATCTAGATCAACAATATAACCTAAATTAGTTATCAGATCTAGAAAACCTTGACTTCTCTTAGGCTCGTTCTTGTGACGGTGGAGGTCTTGTTACAGTGTGTGGTCGTGGCGATGGAAAGCAGCGTGGAAGAGAGAGAAATCGCCGGCGAAGCTTCTGATTTGAGCCAAAAGGCTTGAATGAGCAGCGATTTTCGGCTTCTTTTTCTTCAATTCTCAAGTGCTTTGCTTCATTTTTCGGCAGTGAAATTCATAGAATCAGGAGATGAGAGTGAAAGAGGAGAGGCGTGAGAAGGATAGAGTGGAGATAAAGAAAATGGAAGAAGAGGGTCGGCTGAGAAGAGAGGAAGAGAGAAAGGGAAGAGAGAGAGCGGCTGTTAACAAAAAAAAATAGGGTTAGTTTTGGTTGGGAAGGTTGAGCCCCTTATATACCCTATTTTAAAAATTAGTAAATAAAAAATTACGACCGCTAAAACGGTCGCAAATCTGCGACTGCCTTAAAAACGGTCGCAAATGTTATAATCTGCGACCGCCTTATAAACGGTCGCAAATATTATAATATGCGACCGCCTTAAAAGCGGTCGCAAATGGTCGCAAATTGAGATGACCGTTTTTATAATGGTCGTAATATTCGCCATTTGTGACTATTTTTTGCGGTCGCAATACAATTGTTTTAATTTAGAATTATTTTTAACATGTATATTATTTTAAAGAAATTTTTAAATAGCCTAAAAACGGTCGCAAATCTGTGACCGCCTTAAAACGGTCACAAATATTATAATTTGCGACCGTTTTAATGACGATCGTAAAAAAACGGTCGCAAATCTGTGACCGCCTTAAAACGGTCACAAATATTATAATTTGCGACCGTTTTAATGACGGTCGTAAAAAAACGGTCGCAATTTGACCGAATTTTAGTAGTGCCTTACCTTGTCTTCCTCCATTATCACCATCATCCACCAATCACAAACCTCCGGCCACCAGCACAAACCTTCAGCCACCACGTAGCACTACCACCTACACCCACCACATACCCACACCCATTTTATTTTCCTTTCCTTCTTCGCCTAGACACAACAATCGTCGCGGCTCCGCCGCCATAACTATTGTCTACCCAACCGCCGACTCCATGACCACCCAAGCCCCACCGCCCAATCAACCCACCACATACCCTGCTTTGTTTCTCCTCTTCCTCCTTCCCGTATTTCTTTCTCTCTCTCCTGCTTAGCCACCGTACCATCACCACCCCTGAATCACCACCCTTGCACCTACCTCCTCTTCGAAACCCCAAACACACCACAGATCACCAGCACCATAACTAATACTCTTCGAAGGAGATTTAAGGTTTTTTTTTATTTATTATTTTTCTTATGTTAATTTAATATATATGTAATTATTAAAAAAAAAAGAAAAATTACCAGTTGAATAAGTTGCTAGTCAAATAGGTTCAGTATGGGAGAATAATATGCAAAGGTGAGATTATTCAGGGTTAATCAAAAGGTTGGATTATTTTGGGAGAATGGATGAAAGGTTTTATTATTCATGTTAAATTTTCCTATATATATTAAATGTAAAACTTTTTTTTTTTACAGTTTTATAGTCTCTTTATTTTATTCTAATATTATAAATGTCCATTTTTATATGATGCAATGTTTAGAAATAAATGTTCAATTTTTTTTCAAGTAAATGTTCATTTTTTTCTAATAAATGTTCATTTGTTGGGCGTGACCTCAGCCAAAAATTTGCGGAACATAAGAATTGAGTAGATAATTGGGCTTTTGACAATATGCTATTATTAGTCTGAAATCCAACCCACTCAGAAAATCCATCTTCAACCTAATTTAATCGCAAATTTTCAGCTGGTCCCGAGACCAGCCATATCTAGCTGGTCCCGAGACCAGCCATATCTAGCTGGTCCCTCATTGTAAAAATGAACATTTAATATAACAAGAATGAACATTTTCATGGCTGGCCCCTCATTGTAAAAATGAACATTTAATAACAAGAATGAACATTTTCTTGCTACATGATATTATTTCTTACAAAATTAAATGTTCATTTTCATACTGTCAGACGTTCATTCTTATAATATTAATGTTCATTTTCATACTATCAGACGTTGATTCTTATAATATTAATGTTTACAATTTAATATAACAAACATGAACATTTTTTTGCTATAAGATATTTATTCTTTCAATATTAAATGTTCATTTTCATACTATCAGATGTTCATTCGTATAATATTAATATTCACAAATTGGCAAAATGTTCATTCTTGTAATATCAGACAACCATTCTTATAATATCATATGTTCATCCTTAATGTTCACAATTTGGCAAAATGTTCATTCTTGTAATTTTAGATGTTCATTCTTGTAATATCAGGTGTTCTTTTTTTATAATATTAATGTTCACAATTTTCATACTATTAAATGTAATGAATTAATCAAAATTTAAAATGTGGGATAAAATCAAGCAAAATTGCAAGTGTACTTGCAACGAAATTTGGCGAAATTCCTCCATAATAATCAAATAAAATTGCTACAAAAAGTCTAGCTTGTAATTAAACAATATGCTACGTGTACAAAGAAAATTGGAAAATTACAATTTTTTCGGAGGTCGTTTTTCATATTCTTAAGATGCCACTCTACTTTCATCTCGAATATCCATGTTTATGCATATCATTTTGATCTCTAAACTTTGTAGTTTGATAGATTATGATGGTTTTGAGAGGAAATAGAGAGAGAAAGTGGGTATGACAGCTTTTTAAAATAAAAAATGTTTATTTTTTCTTTTAAAGAGGTTTGTATCTGATTTGACAACATGTGACCTGCTGAAGTCACAAGCGTATCAACGAGGGACTATACTTACATAGTTGGTCTCGAGATCGGCTATTAGTAACTGCTAATTTAATGGTTTTGGACCTCGACTTTTTAGTCTAAAATCCACCCTACACAAACACATCATTCTTTGCGATCCATGATCACCCCTACTTTACCAATACTTTACCCACACGCAAAACCAAAAAAAAATCTCCACTATAAATAGCCCATATTGAACTCATAATCTTGTACCCATCTCCCCCAAAGGCCCCATTTTCATCGGAACACATACACTCTATCCCCCCAATCTCTCTTCACTCTTTCTTCCTTCTCATTTCCTCATTCTCCAGTACTTTTAAACAAAACCTAAACACAACAAAAATCCATAAAAACCCAAAAAATGGATGATCTCAAATTTGTGATCGAATCATCCGAAGCACAAACACTAGCAAACAAACTCGGCTTAAAATCCGTACTCAACCTCTTACCATTGATAGCAAAATCAGCTAAAAAGCTTGCTCGCCCACCAATCTCCGGCTTCCATGTTGCCGCCATCGGCTTAGCTACCGACGGCCGTATTTTCATCGGCGTCAATGTCGAATTTCCAGGATTACCCCTGCATCATTCAATCCACGCTGAACAATGTCTCATCACAAATCTCTCTCTTCACCCTCAAACCCATCTCAAAAACGTCGTCGTTTCGGCGTATCCATGTGGGCATTGCCGTCAATTTCTTCAAGAAATTCGTGGTGCCCCAGATATTCAGATCTTTGTTTTGGACAAAAATGGTGAATCTGAACAAATTAATGGATACCCAGATGGAGAATCGGATTGTTTTAGGCCATTATCTTGTTTTTTGCCTAATAGATTTGGTCCACATGATTTGTTGGATGAAAAAGTTCCTCTAATTTTGGAAACAATTAATAATAATTTGGTTCTTGATGATGATGGTAAAATCGTTGAAATGGGTAATTTGTGTAATGTAGTTTCGAGATTTGAGGTGGGAGAATTGGTTTCGGCTGCATTCGAGGCTGCGAATCGGTCTCATGCACCTTATAGTGGGAGTCCATCTGGGGTTGCTTTGGTTGATGTGGATGGTAAAATATACAAAGGGTGTTACATGGAGTCTGCTGCTTTTAACCCGAGTATCGGCCCTGTGCAAGCCGCCATGATCGCTTTTATAACGGGGTCTGGGACTGGCGAATGTGATGCAGGCGCTGATTACAAGAGGATTGTGGGTGCTGTTCTGGTTGAAGTTGAAGGTGCTGTTGTTAGACAAGAAGAGACTGTAAGATTGTTTTTAAATGCTGTTTTTCCAAAGTGTGAATTTCGTGTGTTACGTTGCCAAAAATCAAGTTCTGCTGAGACACCTAAAGGCAATTGATGAATGATGATGATTCTTCGTTGTTATTGACTTATTGTTACGATCAGAACATCGGAAATGGTTACATGTAATCAATTATTTGTAATAATTGTGTAAAGAAAACAAAAATTAATTATTATGGTAACTTTGTTATTGTCTCTAAAATGGCTAATTTAATTCAGCATTTGATAATCTAATTTTGCCCTTTGATTAGGAGAAAAGGTTGAATACTTTTATGTGAAACAGCTGTGAACAAAGTTGTTGGTGATTTTAATTGATCAGCATATCTATTTTGTACTAGTATAAAAATACTGTTTCATTAAATTACTTTCTCAATTTGGACCTTTCACTTACAGTGTTATATTGATCATGCCAAAAGGAGCAACGAGCAAAAGAAAAATTAAACTTTGGGCCTGTTCATATTTACTGAACTGAACTGATTGGAGCTGAACTGAACAGAACTGAAAAATTAAAATGCATAAAACTGAACTGAACTGAACTGATTAGAGTTGAACTGAACTGAACTAAACTAAACTGAACTGATTGGAGCTGAACTGAAGTGAACTGAACTGAAAATAAGTAAATATAAACAAGCCCTTTTTTTTCTTTTTGTTTGAGAGTATATACTATTACTACTCTAGTAGATGAATTTTAGAAAATCTAATTTGATCCAATCGTTAGACTTAAATATTAAAATAACATGAATCACACCTTAAGTATACTCAATATCAGATAACTCGATTGTGACCTAGTCGGAAATAGACGTGACCTAAACCCACTCAAAGCGAACACAATGATTGTAACTGATCTTTTATCCTCGTGCAGTTGTTGAAAGTTTAGCTCACTTGATATTTTTCGCGATCTGTTGATACCTGTACCTGTTGACCTTACATGTTTTGATGATGACTCAAGGAACCTAAGCAAACCTATAACAAGTTTAACTTTCGGTTTTAGCTTTGATTTATGATAGGTTTGTGCTAGGAAATTCTTGAGTGAGAAGGGAGCATGGAACAAGATCAGAGCTAGCTATGGAAGAATAAAGAAATCAATCAAGTCGTGTTCCTTGAAGGGAACTGAAGCTCGAGAATTTAAGCTTCAAAGGAAAGTTCCTTGAGTGAGGAACTGCAGCTTCAGAGTCGAAGCTTCTCAGAGTATCAAGGAATCTAATGTATTTTATCTTTACTTTAGGCAACTTGTATTTATGTTAAGTACATTACAATTGATAGGATTTAAGTGGATTTAATTTTAATTTGATAAAGATTTTATTTTCCATATTTTAACTTTATTTCGAAAAATATCTTTTTAGTTAAAATATCTTGTTAGTTAAAAAGTTTTTCTGTTTTAATTCTATCCTATTATTTTGGAAAATATAATTTGGAAAATATTTTTTATAAACGGCTGTTTTACATGGCCAAGGAAGTTGAGAGAAAATAGGAAGCAGTAAACCACTTCCTTGTAATGTGCTCAGCTTGCTGCCCAAGCATCCACGAATTGCACTTCCTTAGTTTAAGGAAGTTGTGATTAAGTGGTGATTAAGGCAACTACGATTTAACTGCCAAACTCTTCTATAAATAGCCTTGGTTTTTTGTTGGAAAAACACACTTGAGCATTACAGCCTTTTAGCCTTTGAAAAAGAGTCATAATCCACTTAAGTTCTTGAGTGTCTTTGTACTTAGCAATTTGGAGTTTAATCTTTGAGTTGTATTGGGTTAGAGTTTGGGGAAACTCTAAGAGTGTTTTATTGCTTTGAGTGAAGCAAGGAGAAAGAGAGAGAGTTTGAGAGTTAGACTGATTGAGGGATCAGTTGAAGGGAGCTTAAGTTCATATAGGAACTTGAGTTTAGAGTCTTAATTTGTAATAGGTTGTTTGCCCTATTATTATTAAGAATTGAGTTTAAAATCCCTTGTGGTCGTGGTTTTTCTTCTTGATTAGGGCCAAGAAGTTTTCCACGTAAAATCACTCTTTGCACTTTTAGTTTTTATTTGAGTTCCTTTATAAATTCCGCAAAAATTACCCTAGTTCCTCTACAATATAATTCACCCCCCCTCTTGTATTGTTCATTCGAGTCAACAATTGGTATCAGAGCCTGTTCCTCGAAGAATCAGGAAACCCTGACGAGTTAAGTTCCTGGAAGCAACATGAAATCACGAGAAACTGCAAGAAGGTTACTCTACGCAGCGTCCTCCTATGTTCAATGGGAAGTTCTACACCTATTGGAAGAACAGGATGGAAATTTTTATCAAAGCTGACAACTACCAAGTTTGGAGAGTTATTGAAGTTGGTGATTTCGAAATCACCAAAACAGTTGGTGAAAATGAGGTAGTACCTAAACCCATGTCTGAGTTTGATAAGGAAGATTTTGAAAAAAAATGGAAATTAATGCACTTGCTGTTAAATTACTTCACTGTGGTCTTGGTCCCCATGAACACAATCGTGTTATGGGCTGTAAAAATGCTAAAGAAATTTGGGATTTACTACGAGTAACACATGAAGGAACTAATGAAGTGAAACGCTCTAAAATTGATCTGCTTATGTCTAAATATGAACGTTTTGAAATGCAATCTAAAGAAACTATCCAGGAAATGTTAACAAGGTTCATTAACATAATTAATGAGCTTGTTTTTCTTGGAAAGAAAATACCTATTGATGAGCAGGTCAGGAAAGTTCTAAGGAGCCTCCCTCAAGATGAAAGATGGAGAGCCAAAGTGACTGCCTTACAAGAAACTAAGGACTTCACGAAATTCAACATTGAGCAACTTGCCGGTTCCCTCATGACTCATGAATTGCACTTGGGAACAAGCAATAGTGAAGGGAACAAAGGAAAAGGCTTAGCTCTCAAAGCTGGTGATCAAGAAGAATCTGAGGTAGATGAAGAAGAAGCGGCCATGTTGGTGAGAAGGTTCAAAAGAATGTTTAATCGAAACAATAGAACAAGGAACTTCACCAAAAAGTCATCGAACTCAAAAGCTGATTCCGGATGTCACAAATGTGGATCCCTAGATCACTTCATTCGTGAATGCCCCTTGTGGGAAACTGAGAAAGGTAAAGGGAAGGCCAAGGAATAGAACAAGAGCAACAAGACTCCTTACAACAAAACAGACATTAGGAAGGCTATGATTGCTGCTTGGGGAGATTCTGAGAGTGATGATGAGGAGGAACAACCTAAAGAAGAAACAACCAATTTATGTCTAATGGCCAAACGTGATGAAAAGGCCTATAATGATGAACTGGCCAAAGAGGTACGTGCTGATCCTAATCATCTTAGAACTCTTCCTAAAGAAGTACTTATTGATTACATTGTAGAAATAGAAGATGACTGGATAATTGATATTAAAAATCTTAATGAATGTGAAAAAGCTCTTAAAGTCAGCAAGGAACACAGTGCCTGGATTGAGAACCAGCGTACTGATGTTCAAGGCAGATTCTTTGATCTTTTTTTATAAGAATCTTCTTCTAAAAGAAATGAATGAAAAACTCAAGTATGAAAATATTATGGTTAATGTAGAACTGACTCAATACAAGCTTGCCAGTACTGACTTTAAATCGTCAAGTTCCTCTTCTGAATCACTGCCTAAGTTTAATGAAGATTTTGAAAAATTAAAACACAATCTTGATGAGTTAAGAACTGAAAAGGCAAATTTAGAAAAATAACTCGCAATCAGAAAAGAAAGAAGCACTGGTCTGCTTGGTGTACCTAAATGGATTGAGAATGCTCAAACCAAAAGAACTGAAGGACTAGGATACATTCGATCTAAGCATAAAGGTAAAAAGAAATATGTTGATTTACCTAGCCATAAAGTTTGTTCCTTTTGTGGGAAGACAGGTCACTTAGTGAACACTTGTTATAAGAAGGAACAATCTGTTAGTAAGAATGTTAAGCAAGTTTGGGTTAGAAAATCTGATATTGCTTCAACGTCCAAGGAACCCAAGGAAACCTGGGTTCCTGAAACTAATCAATAAGATCTTTTGCAGGTCCTAGTGAGGGGGAACAACACGTGGTACCTCGACAGCAGTTTTTCAAAGCATATGACAGGAGACAAATCAAAATTCCTCTCACTTGAGACCTATTCTGGAGGAACTGTGACCTTTGGAGACAACAAGAAAGGAGAAGTCATTGGAAAAGGAAAAGTTGGAAGGTCTAGTTCCCATTCAATTGAAAATGTACTTTTGGTCGAGGGTTTGATGCACAATTTGCTGAGCATATCACAATTTTGTGACAAAGGAAACTCTGTAAGTTTTACTTCTGATTCATGCAACATCATTAATGACAAAACAGGAAGGGTTGTTCTTGAAGGAACTAGGAAATGGAACACTTATACTGTGGATCTCAATTCTGTTCCAAGGAACAACCTTACATGCCTGAGTGCCATTAATGATGATCCTTTATTATGGCATAAACGTTTTGGACATGCTAGTTTCTCACTCATGGATAAACTTAGAGCAAGGAACTTGGTCATAGGGCTTCCCTCATTCAAGTTCCTCATACAACATATCTGTGATGCATGTGTGAGAGGTAAGCAAGTCAGGTCATCTTTTAAAAGTAAAAACTTGGTGAGCACCACAAAGCCATTGGAACTTATACACATGGATTTGTGTGGTCTCATGTGTGTTCAAAGTAGAAGTGGAAAGAAATATGTTCTAGTTATTATTGATGATTTTTCTAGATTTACCTGGGTGATTTTTCTGTCTAACAAGGATGAAACCTTTGATGAATTTGTGTCATTCGCCAAGAAAGTGGAGAAGACCAGTGGAAATCAAATTATCCACATTAGGTCAGATCATGGAACTGAGTTCGAAAATTCAAGATTTGATGAGTTTTGCAGAGAAAATGGCATGGATAATAACTTCTCAGCCCCAAGAACTCCTCAACAAAATGGAGTTGTGGAAAGGAAGAATAGGACCCTAGAAGACATGGCAAGAGCAATGCTCATAGCTAGTGGACTTCCAAGGAACTTCTGGGCTGAAGCTATCAACACTGCTTGTTATATTATAAATCCAGTTATGATGAGACCAATCATCAATAAAACTCCATATGAATTGTTTAAGGGCAGAAAGCCTAATATTTCTCACTTTAGAGCTTTTGGATGCAGGTGCTTTTTCCATAATAATGGAAAAAAGAACATAGGAAAATTTGATGAAAGAAGTGATGAAGTTGTGTTCCTTGG